CGTTTGTACCCACTTATTATTCGTAGGTACCCAGATCTTGCTGGTAAGATAACTGGTATGTTGTTGGAACTGGAGAATGCTGAATTGCTCCATATGATGGTACATAGCGACTCGTTAAAATCAAGAGTTAAAGAGGCTGTTGGCGTGCTCCGAGCCCACCAGGCTAAGAAGGCAATCAAAAAGTAGTAATTATCTCCAACCTCATTTGATTTTTTGTTTCATCCTTAAATGTAACTGTATATATCCTGTTTCTCTCTCTCTCTGTGTTATTAAATATCTATGATGTCTTTAAATAAACGTGTATGTAAATAACGCCATTGTGGAATTAGATTTTTCTACCCTTCGGATATTCCTTCCCCCTATACATATAGTTAAATAAATCATTATTTATTACTCACTTAATTATATAAATTGACTTGGAATTAATTTACTACTACAAATAAAAGCTCTTGTCAATAAGAAACGTTAGAAAACTTATAAAATATTTAAAGTGTAAGTGTAATATGTAATAATACTCAAATGAATAGTATTTTTATTCTTTCATATTATTTATGCAAAATTTATTTAATTTGAGATTGAAAATAATTCTATTCCATAAATAAATATAACAATAAGTAACAATTCAAGCACATTATGTAATAACTTTTTAAATTAATTTTTATTGAGTTAAATTTAAATAAAATTACCAACAATAAACGGATATTTCAAACTGGTAATTTTTATATAATTAATACTTTTCCAACTGTAATCAAATTTCGAAATTTATTGAAATATTTATTATAACGTTTTTCAGAGATTTTTACTAAGCTTCAAATAATTTCTTTTTGATAATTTAAACTTATATATAAATCAGTTAAATCATATTATAATTGTCTTATTTTTTGCCTGAAATAAATCGTCATATCTAATATTTATTATTATACTATAGTTTTTATTTGTTTTGTAATTTTACTTACAAATATTTTGAGATCATTAAAATACACTTTAAGCTCGCTTAACGAGTTTAATCCATTCCAAAAATTCCGGATTTTTACTCGGATAGTGAAAGATATTCAAAAATACACATAAAATGGCGCGCAATCCAGGATTTCTCTTCTGATCGTCTCTCGAAACATGCGAATCATCGCTCGGTAAACGAATCATTTTTACAATTCATTTTGCTCGTTAAGCGAGGTTCCACTGTATTTAGAATTTATTATAAACATTTGAATTGAAATTCATATTTTATCACTTCTTAAGATTATTTACAAATTATTGTTACAAAATATAGTGAATGTGGATACTTTTTTTTAGTAATGATTTTGTTTGAAATTCTATAGTTTACTCATTAATAGATAATAGCTTAAAATTGTTAATTTTTATTTTTCAAATGTTTATACATTGCATTGAAATGATCGCCAATCGTTTCCGTTTTCTGCATTATTTATAGTCTGCAACAATAATTTGTTTTTATTGTCATTCTTAGAGAAGAGACATTCTTGGAATATTTATTGATTGAATAGATGAGAGAGAGAAAAAACTGTTATATACAAACATTTTAAAATAAAACAAATTGAACATTCAATATTCGTAAAGTTCAGACATTGCATATTACATGCTTGCACATTGCAGTTTGCATACATTGTTGAAAACATTTCAAATATTTCACATATTTAATTATTTATTAGTTGATTTTGGGTTTTCAGTCAAGAATGAAATGAATAAATCAAAAAAATATAATTGAACGAGAATCAAAGTAACTTAACTTGTTATTTATTTGCAAATAAAACCATTGATTAATTACACTTTTCTTAATTGATTTATAAGTATATTTATTTTAGAATTTAAAACATGTATTTTCTATGTGAACTTATACACTAAATCTTTGTGGTTTTTCATACTATAATTAACAAAATTTTCAGTTTTCAGATGTTGTAGTTTCGTTAACTTTCTCAAAGATTTATGTAGCATTAATCTAAAGAATATCAAGTTTATTTGTCCTTTTGATACGTATTGAACCGAAAATGCCAAATTTGATAAATCACCATTTCGTAAGTGTCATTCAAGTCTATGATTAAACTAAATGTGCATTAACATTCAGCGGCATAACTGGAAATGATGTAAGAAAGCAACGCGTGCTCACGCCGCTCGTCGTTTCGTTTCTTTTTCGCTCCCGGTTTTTTTTTTATTGAATTTAGAGTGGAGGCGAGGACGCGTTTTGTCAAAACATGATCCCACTCTTCGGTAAATAGGTGTAACCTTCCGGATCAAAACCAACAACAACAAAAAAAGAAACTAATATAGGAGAGCCTTAATAACAGTACAAGAAAATCTAATATAAAAACCCGCCGTCTCCAAATCACAATTCGTAGTTTGATCCTAACCGCAGACAAATACACAACCAAACAAACATGTTCAAATACGTAAGTTGTCTATAAATTAATAAGTTATATTGCAAACTTTGATTTTGTTGTTGTTTTTGTTTATTAGGTTGTATTCGCCGCCCTTTTGGCCGTAAGCTTCGCCGCCCCTGAACCAAAACCAGGCGTATTGGCCGCCGCTCCAGTCGTAGCCTCCCCATTGGCTTACACTTCGCCATTGGCTTACTCCGCCGCTTACACCGCCCCTGTTGTAAAGGCTGCCTACGCTTCTCCATACGCTTACGCCGGAGGATATGCCGCCCCACTTGCTTACTCCGGACACCAGGTGGCCTACTCTGCCCATCCAGCTGCCTACTCCGCTCACCCAGCCGCCTACTCTGCTTACCCAGCGTACACCGCCCCAATTGTCAAATACTATTAACATTTTCAAACAGAAATAATGATTTTGGCCCATGATGATTAAAAAATAAAACTATATTTACTTTAATTATATTTTTTGGTACGAACCCTTAAATAATTGGTTAATAAAACAATTCTAGACAATTTAAAGAATTGCGATTTATAGAAATATCATTGAATTTGATAACTTAAGTAGCGCTTCTACAGAATTAACATCAAAGCTTAATCAAAAACAAAGATTCGTAATCAAAACATGATTGCCATGCATAAAATATACACATAGATTGTATTTAATAAAAAAATGGGCTGATATATCCGCCACTCGTACGCAAAATATTGATAAAATTGTCACTTTTCAATTCTTGTTTTTCAAGTACTTACAATTTCCATATTACTTACCGTAATTATTATAAAATATGTACAAATTGTGTACTTATAAACTACTTGTAAATGTAGTTAAATACTGCAAATAAATATAATTTAAACCAATACTTAAATTCTGTTATTTTAGAGTAAGTTTTTTTAGATAAATGATAACAAATTTTAATGTTGCGTTCAAAATATACAATAAAGTTCGATTTTCCTCATAAAAATTGTAATGTTTTTATTTTTTATAATTTATTTACATGTTAATAATTAATTTCCAATTTTGATCAATTTTATTGCAAATACTTCAATTTTATACTACTTACCGTAATTATTATAAAATATGTATAAATTGTGAACTTATAAATTACTTGTAAAAGTATTTAAATACTGCAAATAAATATAATTTAAACCAATACTTAAATTCTGTTATTTTAGAGTAAGTTTTTTTAGATAAATGATAACAAATTTTAATGTTGCGTTCAAAATATGAAAATATATAACAAAGTTCGATTTTCCTCATCAAAATTGTAATTTTTTTATTTTTATAATGATTTTTATATTATATAAATGTTATTGCAAATTATTGTAAGAAAACATTTACACATTCGATAAAAAAAGTACAAAATTAAGTGATAAATCGCCTTACAGGTTATGAAAACGTCTTATCTCTACTTCAGAATGAATCAGCTCTTGCGGAAAATCAATAACAAACGTTAAGTAACAATCGCCTACGTGATTTGAATTTTGTAAGCGATATATAACAAATTACTTAAATACTTACAGTTTCACGTAACATTCATACAAAAAAGTGTATTACAACAATGTTTTTACTGTATTTGTTAATAATTGCTGAACTCAGAACCAAAACTTATGTTCCTAAACAGTTCGAAAACTGAAATTATTTTTTTATAAAAAAAAAATGAGTTATTATTATCAGTTAACTTTGAAATTTTCAATCCGTACTGTAGTGATTTCGCACTATGAAAGGCATTTTTATACTTTGCTGATTAAACATATAATATTATTAAATTTTACTTGAGTTAAATTATTAATGTTAAAAAAAAACTTAGTTTTATGATTTTTTTTTTATTTTAATGAAATTCTAGATTTCTGGATAAAATGATGAAACTTGTACAACAACATTTAGAAATAGGTACGATCTTGATATAGTTATGAGATTATCTGGAATCAGGTGAATTAACATTCAGAAACAGAACTGGAAATGAAGCAATAAATCAAACACGCGTTCGCTTTCTGGTCTCTTTCTTTCTACATCGCTCCGTTTCTTCAACACTTTTGGTACGCGAGGTCGACTATATGTTTTGACAATGATCCCACTCTTCGCAAATAGACGTAAAAAAAGAAACAACAAAAATAAACCTAATACAGGAGTCAATTGTTAACTGTACACGAAAATCCAATATAAAAACCCGACGCCTTCTAGACGAAATTCGTAGTTTGATCCGAACCGCAGACAAATACACAACCAAACAAACATGTTCAAATACGTAAGTGCATTTTATTACTATTTGTTTTAACAGTTTACTTAATATTTTTGCAGTAACTAATTGTAAAATAATTGCAAATAGATAATAAATTTAAATATTTAACGGTCATCATTGTGACCAATAAAGATGTCCAATAATTTGACTAACTATATGTATAGAAACTGTCATAATTGACGTTTATAAATATGTTCTTTTTGTTTGTTTATTAGGTTGTATTCGCCGCCCTTTTGGCCGTAAGCTTTGCCGCCCCTGAACCAAAACCAGGTGTATTGGCCGCCGCCCCAGTCGTAGCCTCCCCATTGGCATACACTTCGCCATTGGCTTACTCGGCCGCTTACACCGCCCCTGTTGTGAAGGCCGCCTACGCTTCTCCATACGCTTACGCCGGAGGATATGCCGCCCCACTTGCTTACTCCGCTCATCCAGTGGCCTACTCTGCTCATCCAGCCGCCTACGCCGCTCATCCAGCCGCCTACTCTGCTTACCCAGCTTACACCGCCCCAATCGTCAAATACTACTAGATACATTTAGTATATTTAGACAACGAAAGAAAACAATGTTCTGGCCCATAATTTTTGACGAATAAATTAAACTACACAATTACATTTTATTGATTTCTTCCATTTTTATTACAGCAGTAAGTTAAAATCAATTTTCAACTTTTTGTGAGGTTAAATTATGGAAACATATTAATGCAATTAATAGAATATTGACAGTCAGGGATACCAAAACTGCATCTTAATTGGTTGATTAATTGGTTAATTTGTCCATTCGCGACAAAAATATTATTTTAATGCTAACTATAAAACATTCCACATATATACACAAAAATATATAAAAATCTTGTTCTATTTATACAAATAAATACAAATTAAATGCAAAAAGTATATTAAAATTATGAACATATATTATACAATTCCCCATATTTATTAAACAAACACCAATTTTCGAATGCAAATCTCCTTCATAGATTTTCTTGATTCTTCAAATCATTCGTGATCCACCCAAGCTTCTTCTATTTGAGAATTTTCAGATTTTGAGTAAGCCAAATTAATTAGTTGCATATCATTCATTAATTCCTTTGCCCTTTAGTCCTATTTTATTTATAATCTCCGTTAACATTGGCAAAATCTTAATTGTCCAGAGGTATTATTTGTAGAATCTTTCAATTGCTAGAATCAATCACGCGAAATTTCCTCATCAATATTTTGTGGTAATGTTTAGTATTACATTGAAGGTCACAACAATTGTTAGATGTAATTTTCAAAAACTTTTTTTGTATATAACATCAAACTATCTATAGATCAATAAGTAAATTAGTTGGCGGTACAAATGTAATAAAGATGAGGATTTCAACAGTATTCATCTGTATACATTAACATAGTGTCAATTTGTTAAATCTATGTAAAAAGTTTATTTAAGTCTATATGTTTATGTTGGATTGTTGGAGTACATTCCGCTAGTTCATTTTCAAAACTAACTAAAATGTATTTCCAAGAAGTGTGTTATCTGTTTGTGAAAGAAAAAATGTGAATTATTAAGAAACGGTGTATAGAATCGCATCTATGTGTGCCACGCGTCAAAATTAATTAATCTTCAGATATTTTATTTCGATGATCCGATTACAAGTAGATTATTTTCTTTCGCTTATTTAACTGCTTCAAACCATTCGTATTTCGTTTCTTGCATTTCGTGGAATTATTTATTGCGTTTTAGTGGTAATAGGCGATAATAATCAATTAAATATTCACTGAGTGCAATTTAATTTCGGTTTCACGTGCATGTGTTTTCAAACGATCCGGTTAATTCAATCAGCGAAATTATGTTTTTCTATAATTGAATACATTTGCAATTTTAATTCACGCTAATCGATATTCGATAAATGTTATTTACGAGTCTTTTATTGTCTAAAAATAAAACTGAATTTATTTATTTATTAATTTATTTACATGTTAATAATTAATTTCCAATTTTGATCAATTTTATTGCAAATACTTCAATTTCATACTACCAATTAAACCAGTAATGGTAGAATCCAAAGTTTATATTAGATAAATTGTAAAATTATAATCAATGAAATGAAAACATTATTTCTTGATATTTATTGTAACAACTCACTCAATAAGTTTGTGGGATGACTAATAAAACAGCAACTTTTGGACAATATTCGATATTATTCATCAACATAGTCTTCTTCAAGAGTGATACATTCGTTCCAACATTTCGATAGCTTTATTGTAGGACGATTTATCTTTGGCCTCAAAATACGGCTTTCGCCCTTTGCTTTACACTCATCTGACGACCGATTTGACTCTGGAGTGTAGTGGTGCATACAGGTTACATCCGTTGTTACATACCGCATAAAAAAGTCCTTTTTATTTCGCTTGAAAAGCTCCTTGGAATCATCAACTCTTTGTTTTTGGTCCACTTTGAGCTTGAACGCGGTACCCATTTCGAACAGAGCTTTCTCATGATCAAATGTTCATACAAAATGATGAATTCACTGCCTTCTGATATGTTCAGGGTGTCAGTTATCTCATGCAACTTCAATTTACAATCGGCCAAAACCATTTTGTGGACTTTTTTTCTGCAACAATCACCGAATTAGGCGAATTCAGAGCGTTCAGCGTTTAAAATCAGCAAACCACGTCTCTACCATTTGTCTCGACGGAGAAGAGTCCCTATAACACTTATCAAGTTATTACTTTTTTTGAACGGTATTTTTCAAAAAGCAATGTTTTATCAACAGACGAAATTCAGATTTTTCCATTGTTTTAAAAATTACAAAAGTAGCGTCACTAAAACCACTGTAACTTGTGAACTAAACATTAGATTGCCATGAAATTTTGACAGGTGTCGTCTGACGGTTAGTAATTCCTAAAAATATTCTTCTTCTTCCTTCCCCCTTCTTCATTTCGCTTCCGCATTACGCGCCAATAAGCCAGCTACTGTCTACATTCGGAACACAAACTAACTTATACTTCGGATTACTTCTTCCGCCCAAATAATTAAATTAACCAGCTTCTCCCCATGAACCAAAACTTCCTTCTTCAGCTCGACTAATCAAAATAAAGAACTTCTTCTAACTCAACTAAAAAGTAACTATTAAATCGAACTGACTTCTATAAAATCCTAAAAATCATATGGATTTGTCGATAGAAGCGCTATCTATATGTCATCCTACGAACTTATTGAGTGAAGTGTTAATTTACATTTATTTCTTCTATTTGCGCCGATTTCATACTACTAATTATACGCTAATAACCTGAAGTGAGTCTTTAGTAAATTATTAAGATTTACATTATAAAGAATCAATTGAGAACATTATTTTTGTTTAGATTAATTTGTTATTATTTTTCCTACAATATACTAAGTCACTCACTATTGATAAGACTGCCTTGAATATTCTTATATAATTTCAATTAACATTTATAATTTCCTTGCATCTTGTTCATTCTATTGGTTTAACAACAAAATAATTTCAGTTTTCACCAAAACAAAAGCATTATGTTAGTTTTGAATTTGAACCAATTGCGCGTAATTTTGTTTGCAGCAATTAGTTTAGATTCAGTTTTAATAGGAGTGCAATATGTCAGAATTAGTTAAAAAAAATGATTTTTCATTCAAAGATGACTAATATTCTGGTTGACCTTTTGAAGTCATAATTGAATCAGATCGTCCATATAATTGTGTAAGAGATTGAAGAGATATTAAATGTATCACACACACAACTAAAAATCACTTGGACTCGTTAAGAATCTCGATATTCGCATGAATTGAAAAAGATTAACTTAACACAACGAATCAATATTGACAATATCCATCTCAAACGTAATGAAAACGACATTTTTTTCTTAAACAAATCATCACTGGTAATGAAAAATAGATAGAAATGGATCAATCGAAAACAATTATAATCCGAGCGTGATGAACTAGCAAATGGATTGGTGAATTGCATCAAGGAAGATCAAGCTATTAATTTGATGGGATTACAAATGTTTTCTGTATGCTGCATACGATCAATTCAAATGTTCACTGTTAACAACTAATGAAATTGGAGGAAGCAATCAAAGAAAAATAGCCAGAATTGACTTATCGTGCTTCACGAAAACAATACAAATCCTCACACATCTTTGATAACTCGTGCAAAAATATTGGAGCTTGTTTGGGAAATACCATCAGATTATTCGAAGATTGCAAAACTCTTTAAATGGTGAAACTTTCACTAATAATAATGACCTGAAATCGCACTCACACCAGAAGTTCTATAAGCGTGAAATCATAAAGTTGCCAGATAGATGCGAAATGGAAAATATACAATTGATTAAAAGTTCATTCTTTTTATACAAATAAAATAGTTTTATTTCATACAAAAAAAGAGGAAGTTTCAAATAAAATAGAACTAATTTATAATATATTATTTCCATGCATGTTTTCCCATGTGAGCATGTTTTCCCATGTGGTAATTCAATACAATAATGCGAGTGCATATAATACAATAGGAATAATAACAGTTACGAGGCGCACATTGAACGTGGAATGAAATTGATAAATTATTGAAAAAGGGAGAACAAATAAAAAAGGAACGGTTATAATTAGACTGGCAACGCGGACAATGGACTATTATTACTTATTTCGACGGGTCCACTCGATGCAGACCTTCATTTTCATGACAGATACGTGATTTTGATGAATTGGAAATACATATCTTTTTTTCGTATTCGTTCTCTTCGCGTATTACCTGGTGCTTTGATATTATATACGGGCACGTTTTGTACAATCCGCAGAAGTTTTGAGAAATTCTAATGCGCTTATACAAGGTGTCCCAGATAAATATATACACTGTTTAACTGGTTATAACATCTCACTCAATAAGTTCGTTCGATTACTAATAAAACAACAACTTTTGGGTAATATTCGACTTTTTTCGTCAACATAGTCTCCTTCAAGAGTGACACATTCATACAAACGCTGTAACATTTTGATACCCTTCTTGTAGAACGATTTATCTTTGGCCTCAAAATACGACTTTCACCCTTTGCTGTCCACTCAGCTGACGACCGATTTGACTCTTGAGTGTCGTGATAGATACAGTTTTTATCAGTTGTTACATACCGCATGAAAAAAAATCCTTTTTATTTCGCTCGGAATCATCAACTCTTTGTTGTTTTTGGTCCTGGTGAATACGCTGCTTTTTAATATCTTCAGGGTGTAAACCAGTGATTCCCAAAGTGGTCTATATCGACCCCCAGGGGTCGATGACAGCCTGCAAGGGGTCTACGTCAGCGAAAAAAAAATTTGGGGGTCCATGAAATGAAAATGGGGGTCTACAATCAACATACACTGATAGTACCTATTTACTTACATTACACTATCTTATAATATAAAGAAATATACATTATTTATAAAAGTACCTATTAAGTAAAAAAAATATTATATATGTTTATAAAATACATACAATACATTTTGAATTTGTAAAAACCTGGACATAACAAAACATAAAAACATTTTTTTTAAAGCTTCAAAACAATGCTCGCGAACACACCATTCACACATGAAAAAGTAAACACACAGAATTTTTTT